TGTGAAGCAGGAGTGCACGGGAACGAGGGATTGCAGGGAGTAGAGGCCATGCACGGGAGGCAAGTAGGGCTACCTGGAGATTTCCCAGGTACTGCTACTGCTCCTGGCCCCCTGGGCAGTATTAGCGGCAGCAGCAGCAATGGGGTGGGCGCAGGGAGCAGGGCGAGGGGGCAGGTAGCACAGGAGGCGCGGACGGGTCTGGGCGTGGCGCTGGAGCAGCCCATGGGGGGCTGCAGAGGGCGTCAGCAATTGGGGGAGGTGAGGGGCGGTGGGGGAAGGCAGGAAGGGGTTGCTGGGGAGTGGATGGCGGTGGAGCAGGGGGGAACAGTAGCAGCAGCAGGAGGGGAAGTAGGGATGGGGGTTGTGATTGGTGTGGGTGGAGGGATGTTGGGTGCTGTGGATGAGGAGGGGGGCATGGCAAATGATGCTGATTGGAGGGCAGACAGCTGGGGGGCTGAAGGGGGGCCCGGCAGTCAAGCAACTGGATTATCGGTGCCTGGACCCAGGGCGATAGAGGAAGCAAGGGAGGAGGAGCGCGAAGAGGAGCACATGGGGTTTGACATGAGTGGGAGGCGGGTCGGCGAGAGAGGCGAGACGGAGGGAGTTTTTGCATTCGACGACCCGTGGCTGGCTGCCCAAACGCACACTCTAGGTGAGTGACCCGCCCTCCCTCCTGCCCACCCTGCCCCTTCGTCTCACTTAGCCTCTCCCAACCTCTCCATTTTCCTCGCTGTCTGTCTCTCCACCACGTGTTGGTGTGCATGAATTCATTGAATCTGGACAAGGCCGGCACCAAGAGGCTGTGTGCTGTCCTGCAGGATGCTAATCCACGCACGCAAGGACGTCACAGTGCCATGCAGCCCAGCCCAGCCCAGCCCAGCCCAGCCCAAGCGAAGCCAAGCTATCTGCGCTCATGCTTCTCTGCACACAAGGCTCATAGTGTAGCCCGGGGTTAGCTTAGCACGGTTGCCTAGGTACAAGCCATTTCTTTACAAGCGCATCTTGCAAGCCGTACGCCCCAAGCTCTGACCGATGATCTTCCTGGGAGGGAAGGGCTTGTGGGGAGGGTTAGTGCTGGGGCAAGGAGCGGCAGCAGGGATTTGGAAGTGGAGGCAGCAGCAGCAGCAGTTGGGCGTGCAGGCTTTCTGTAGGGTAGACAACTTCTAGGTGACCGTTGACACTGACTGATGTAGCCTGCCTCGTAGTGGAACCCCCATTGTACACTCTATAACGAGTATGAAGGTCAGGCTATTTTCATGTACCTCTTCTCGTTCTCCTGTCTTTCTCTCCTCTCTCTCTCTCCTGCTTCACTGCCGATGAGGTAAGCTGCAGCTGTGATGCTTTTGCCAACTCTCATAATCACCCCCCCTCCCTCCTCCGTCCTGTATCACCCCCGTCCCACCCCTCTGTCCCATTCTCCTGTGCTCTGTCTTGTGCTCCCGTGTTCTGTCGTGCCTCGTGCTCCCACCCCCCCCTCCACCGTGCCATCCCCTAGCCCCTGCCTCTTTGTCTCGCAGCAACACCTCTGGCTCCTCCCCAGATGCTCCCTCACCACCCCGCCCCACCCACCCACACCGCCCCACCTCCTCCCACTTCCTCGCCTCCTCTACCCTCCATTTATCATCATCACCAGCATCACCAGCATCCCCATCAGCAGCAGCTGCACCAGCAGCACCACCACCAGGAGAAGCACCAGCAGCACCAGCACCACCAGTAGCAGCACCAGCAAGAGGTGCCTTATCCCCCTCCTCCCAGCCCCTGGGGGCCCATTCCCAACCCCTGGCCTCCCGCCCATCTGCCCTCTCCCCCACTATGAGCCTCCTCTCAAACCCCCAGCACCACTCACCGCCCCCCTGTACCCCCGAGGTCCACCCTCAGCCGTGTGCCCACCCATCCCCCCATGCACCATTGTCTCCCCCTCCTCCTCGTCCGCCCCCACCTGCTCCCCCCACTCATGCTCCTGGGGACTCCTTTCCCAGCAGCATCTGTGGCTGCCTCGTACGTGGCAGCGAGGGGGAGATGGAAGGCGAAGGAGGGGCTGACGAGGGCGAGCAGAATTGGGAGGAGCAGGAGGAGAGGGTGCAGGAGCAACGAGCAGGGGAGGAGCAGGTGGGGAAGGAACGAGTGGTGGTAGAAGAGGTGGGGGGGTTAGGGCAGCAGAAGCAGCAGGGGCAGGAGGGGCAGAAAAAGCAGCTGGAGCAGCAGGAGCAGGAGTGTGGCAGGGAGCATGGGCAAAAGGAGGTAGAGCAACAGCAGACCGTGGCGGATGGGGGCCTAAGGGAGGTAGAAGAGGTGTCAGAAACAGTGCCAGCGTCAGAAGCAGCCTTAGAAGCGGTGTCAGAAGTGGTGTCAGTGTCAGAAGAGGTGTCAGAAGAGGTGTCAGAAGAGGTGTCAGAAGAGGTGTCAGAAGTAGTGGTGGTGGAGGGGGTGTTGAGCGTAGAAGTGGAGAGAGATGAGGATACGGGAATTGCAGTGTGTAGCTCCGGCGTGAAAGGGTCTGCAGAGTGCGGGGTGAGTGGGGTGGGGGAGATGGATCAGGTGGTTGCTGGGGTGAAGGATGAGGGAGATGGAGAGGACGAGAGGGGGAGGAGAGGCGGCTGTGGAGGTTCAGTGGTTTATACGGGACAAGCAGAGCGTGAGGAGAGAGGGACGGTGGTGTGTCAAGGAAATGCAGGTTCGAGGCAGGTGGAGGGGAGGGAGCAGGAGGTGGAGCAGCATGAGACGGAAAGGCAGGAGAAAGAAGATGCAGAGATGCAAGGCAGCAGCAGGAGTGGTGGGAGCGAGGACAGCAATGGTGGCAGTGCTGGCGTTGCTGGAAGTGGTGACGACAGCAGTGGAGAAGGCATTGGGGATGCAGCAATAGCCGAACCTGTCTCAGATGCTTCACCTCCCGAACCTCTCCCAGCTGCTTTACCTGACGAACCTCCCCCAGCTGCATCACTTGCCGAACCTGATTCAGCTGCTTCACCTGCCGAATCTCTCTTAGCTGCGTCACCTGCCATACCTGTCTCAGCGTCACCTGCCATACCTGTCTCAGCGTCACCTGCCATACCCGGCTCCTCCGCATCCCCTGCCACACGTGTGTCAGCTGGTTACAGAGGCACTGCGAGCAGTGGTGGTGAGGCGTGTGCAGCAGGTGCAGGGGTGAGCGTGGAGAAGGATGGAGCAGAAATGGGAGGGAGTGAGCACGGAGGGCAGGTAGGAAACAACCACAGGGGTCCTCGTGTGGTGGCTATTACAAGTGGTGGCATCAAGGCAGCTAGTGCTGCTAGCAGCAACAGCTTCAGTGGCAGCGATGCTGGTGGTGGTGGTGCTGGCAGTGGCAAGGTAGCAGTGACAGCAGCAGCTGAGGTGCCAACAGTGCGAGCAAGGAAGGGGAAGAAGAAGAAGAAAGGTCTCGTGGTATCAGTTGCTGCCGCACCACCACCACCACCACCAGCAGCAGCGCCACAACAAGCAGTACAGGCGGCCATCAAGTCGGTTCCCAGCTCCGAGTCTTTGAATGGCTGGGAGCTCTGACTGCTGGCACGCTTGTAAACTGTTGCTGCTGCCCTTGCAGAGAGGGCGAGCACTCACTGGCTTGGGCTGTTGTCAGGGTGGGACACGCAACCCGCTCCCTTTCTCCGGGCCTGCTGCACCCAGCACAGCCTCACTGCGGCACAGGCTTGGTACCTTACCATAAACGCTTGGTATGGTATAGGTTTTACCATACACACAGACTTGGATGTGCTGCTATACGCTCACATGCCTGAGCTGAGCTAACGGCCTTTGCTATGTGGTCTTGCTGTGTGGCCTCTCAGTGCAAGCAGATCGGTGTGCAACAGGGCAGTGGTCACGCTCTTGTTGTGGCGTGCAGGGGGAAGAGGCAACAAGTGGCCTGGCAGACTTACAGAAATTACTTTCATTATACCGTACTATGTACATTGATGGACTATACATGTATTATAGTGTCTCTGAGCACGGAGCATGTGCGAGTCCGTCGTCATCCCAGCCATGCCACGCCATTTCATGCTACGAGTGCAGCATATTTCGCACTGCCTACGTGCGGTAGAACATTTCGCTCCTCATCCTCGCTTCACGCCTCCTCACTCTCCACTCCTCCACACTCTCAATCCTCACTCCTGCTCACGCCTCCTTGCTCCTACCACCTAGTCACTCCTCCTTCCTCGCGCGAAAGAATAGCGCAGTCACGGGCGTCCCCAACCCAAACTGTTGTGCAAACTGGCGGGTCTTGAAGCCCTTGACCGCAGCAGGTGTGTCGGTGGTGAGGCGGTGCGGCTGGCGGAAGAGAGAGAGCACGTAGCGGTGCACGCCCGTGGGCGGGGAGGGGCCCTTGTAGGCCATCACTAAGTCTCCTGCGCTGCTGTGTGGGAGCGTTGTTGCGCCTGGTATGTTCACCACTAGCCTGCATGCATGCACACACACAGGGGAAGGACTTGGTGTTATAACGAATGAGGTTACTTGGTAGTGTACGGATGCATGTGATAGTATGGGCTGCAATGGCAAGGCATGTGCAGAACAGTGGCCGACTTGCATGCTGTCCCTGCTCCCACCTCCCCAGCAATCAATCCCCCCAGTCTTCTGTACTCCCCTCGACCCCACTTCCCTCAGCCACTCCCCCCTCCCCTCCCCTCCCCTCGCTCTTCCTCTCCTTCCCCCCAGTCTCACCAGTGCAACCACTCGGCCGCCACGGGGTTGTCTGGGCTGGGCGCGTCTGGGTCCGACATTACCTGGGGGAAGGGGAAAGATGGGAGAGGGGAGGCGGGACGAAGGGGGGGAAGAGGAGGAGCGGGGGAAGGTGTTATGGAAGGAGTGGCAAGAAGGGGGGCGCGGAAGCTATCGTGTGCGCTCATGGGCTGGGCGCGTCTGGGTCTGACATTACCTGGGGTGAGGGGGGAAGAAAGGAGAGGGGATGTGAAGCGTTGGGGTGGATGGACACGAATGAAGGAATGAGGAGTGGGAAGAGAGGGGGAGGCATGGGGAGGGGGCTGTTTAGTGCGGCTTTGCAGGAAGGTGTGTTGGCGTTGATTCATGAGTGAGGCGTTGACTGGCGTTGACCGGCGTTGACTCACGAGTGTGTAGAGGTCCCCGTTCTCGTGTCGCCCCGCCAACTCGACGTATGGCGCTTCTGCTGCCTCGCTGGGCGTTAGCTCGTCACCGTTTCGCACCTCCCTGTCACCGTACTTCACCTGCCAGCACCACGCGTGTTAACAAAGTCAACGAGGTCAGAAGACCAGCTTCAACGGAGTCAACGCGGTAAAACCTAGCTTGCTCCGCGGAAGCTCTGTCCGAGGCGATACCTTGATGTCGAGCGACGGCACGAAGTCGTCGAGCACGTCGCCAATCACCTTGCCCTTCGCAAGCGCCTCGTGCGACGCTTCCATGGCTGCCTGCTGCGGTGCGCGCGGCTCGGCGATTGCTGATTGTTGAGAGAAGCGCGCGTAATAGAGAGGCTTCAGGGAATATCGACAAAGAAAAGGGAGGAAAGAGAGGAAAGTGGAAACGGAAACTACCGTAGATTAAGGGAAAGCGAGGGAGGGGCAGGAAGCACGCAGCGTGCGACAACGCGAAGCAAGTGAGGCTGACACGGGCGACGCGACTAGGAGCCAAATGGCAGTTGGTGATGAATTCGGGACATGCATGGCGAAGCGGGAATCAAGAATCAAGAATTGAGATGTACCTGTGAGATATAAATTTCCCCGCTACCGAGATTCTACTTGGAGTGGAGCATGGTAATGAAAAAATAGGCATTCCATTATAATAAAAATACATAATTACGCTGGATTTGTTTACCAAAGATTACGTTTCTAAATCCGCCGCTACATCGCTCAAGACTTGCTTGAATATACGTACTCCCTGCATCTCAGAACAAAACTACAGTCAGAAATAAGCAGACAGAAAACAAAAGATGTTGAAGGAAGCGGAACCAAGGAGACAAACCTGGAGAGCAAAGATGACGTCGGTGGCACTGGCTTTGAGCATCACTTTGCACTTGGATTGGGGGCGGGCAGCGTTCCTTCCAGCGCCCACCACTTGCAACAGAGCCTGGCAGGCAGGAGCGTCGCACAAGACACATGAGAGAGTGAAGACTCAAATAGATACTGTGCATGAGAGCGGTGTGGCTGCAGTATGCCACACCCCACCCCACCCCACCGCATCGCACCAGAGCAGTATGACCCACCCCACTCCACCGCAACGCACTAGAGCAGCACGGCCCAGCCAACCCCTCTGCACCGCACCTGGCCGTGCAGAATCGCGCACATGTCGGTGACCTCGTTGAGTGTCACGGCCGGCACGTGCAGCGAGCGTGCCAAACCTGCATACATGCTGTACAGCTGACACACGGATAGGGAGGGAAGTGAGGGAGGGGCCAGGGCGGGAGGGAACAGAGGTGACTTTTGAGTCGACTCAAAGGCTGGCACATGCAGCGAGCGTGCCAAGCCTGCATACATGCTGTACAGCTGACACAGGGGTAGGGGGAAGTGAGGAGGGGCCAGTGCGGGAGGGAACAGAGGTGACTTATGAGTTGACTCAAAGGCACATGCAGCGAGCGTGCCAAGCCTGCATACATGCTGTACAGCTGACACAGGGGTAGGGGGAAGTGAGGAGGGGCCAGAGCGGGAGGGAACAGAGGTGACTTATGAGTTGACTCAAAGGCACATGCAGCGAGCGTGCCAAGCCTGCATACATGCTGTACAGCTGACACAGGGGTAGGGGGAAGTGAGGAGGGGCCAGAGCGGGAGGGAACAGAGGTGACTTATGAGTTGACTCAAAGGCACATGCAGCGAGCGTGCCAAGCCTGCATACATGCTGTACAGCTGACACAGGGGTAGGGGGAAGTGAGGAGGGGCCAGTGCGGGAGGGAACAGAGGTGACTTATGAGTTGACTCAAAGGCACATGCAGCGAGCGTGCCAAGCCTGCATACATGCTGTACAGCTGACACAGGGGTAGGGGGAAGTGAGGAGGGGCCAGTGCGGGAGGGAACAGAGGTGACTTATGAGTTGACTCAAAGGCACATGCAGCGAGCGTGCCAAGCCCGCATACATGCTGTACAGCTGGCGCACACACGGATAGGGGCAGGGGCACGAGCGCAGGAAGGGTTAGTGAGAGAGAGGACTGGGGGAGGGGCCATGCTGGACAGGGCCAGTGCAGTAAAGGTGTAGTGCGGGAGAGGGCTAGTGCGGGAGAGGGGTGGCAAGGCAAGCACCTGGGAGAGGAGAAAGTCGTTGGCTGTGGAGGGAGGTTTGCCTCGGGTGATGAATCGGTGGCGTGCCCTGTGGTGTTGGTGCTGCTGCACACACGCCACCAGCACCATCTGAATCGCATAGACGGGTCGTGGAGGGGGTGGGAGAAGCATGGGTGAGGTAGGGTGCATGGGATAATTGGTGGATGTGAGGCACCAGCTGGTGATTCTGAAAGAGTGAACTGTGTCACAAGTCCACTCACAACACACAGGGCGCACTGGTACCTGCTGCTGCAGCGGCAGGGAGCGAACGGAGGGGGGCATGAAGGGGAGATAGACTCTCCAAGCACACATGCCTGCTGGTGCAGTGGCAGCGAGCGAATGCAATCAACGGTGGATGAGGCGAAGGAGCGGGAGAGGGCCTGAGCCATGTGATGCACCTCCACCTGCACCGCCTCCGCCTCCCCTCGCTGCCTCTTGCCCATTGTATGCCCGACTGCCTCACTCCCTGCCGCCCGCTTGCCGTTCCTGCAGTCCCCAGCCGCCCCAGCAGTGCAGTCAGCAGGTGGGGCTGCAGCAGGCAGGGCCTCCCTTGCATCCACCTCCTCCGCGTCTGCCTCCCCCGTGTGTGCCTCCCTGAGGTGCGCCCTGAGCTCCGCCTCGAGCACATCCACTGCCATTCTGCGCGCACAGGGGGGAGTCATGAGCAGGGCGGAAGAAGGGTGAGGAAGGGAGAGGGTAAGGGGGAACAGAGTAAGCGTGAAGAGTGAGGGAAGAAGAGGTTGGAGGGGAAGAGAGGGCAAGTGGGCAAGGAGGAGAGACAGGGCGGCGGTGACTGCAAGGAGGGATTTCAGGCTGCCTGCTCCAGCTATGGTGGTGGAGTGCAGTGCACGGTGGGTGAGAGTGCAGTGCATGGTGGGTGAGAGTGCAGTGCATGGTGGGTGAGAGTGAAGGGGAGTAGGGTGAGAGTGAAGGGGCGTAGGGTGAGAGTGAAGGGGCGTAGGGTGAGAGTGAAGGGGGGTAGGGTGAGAGTGAAGGGGCGTAGGGTGAGAGTGAAGGGGCGTAGGGTGAGTGAAGGGGCGTAGGGTGAGAGTGAAGGGGCGTAGGGTGAGAGTGAAGGGGCGTAGGGTGAGAGTGAAGGGGCGTAGGGTGAGTGAAGGGGCGTAGGGTGAGAGTGAAGGGGCGTAGGGTGAGAGTGAAGGGGCGTAGGGTGAGAGTGAAGGGGCGTAGGGTGAGAGTGAAGGGGCGTAGGGTGAGAGTGAAGGGGCGTAGGGTGAGAGTGAAGGGACGTAGGGTGAGAGTGAAGGGGCGTAGGGTGAGAGTGAAAGGGCGTAGGGTGAGAGTGAAGGGGCGTAGGGTGAGAGTGAAGGGGCGTAGGGTGAGAGTGAAGGGGCGTAGGGTGAGAGTGAAGGGGAGTAGGGTGAGAGTGAAGGGGCGTAGGGTGAGAGTGAAGGGGGAGTAGGGTGAGAGTGCAGGGGGAGTAGGGTGAGGGTGCGAGGAAGGGGCATGAAAGAGCGGTTGGCTGACCTGGTGATGTCAAGCGCCTTCCTCATGTCCCCTGATGCCGCTGCCACTTTCTGTTTGCATACACATGCACATGCAGGCACACGCACACATGCACGCACACACACACACACACACACACACACACACACACACACACACACACACACACACACACACACACACACACACACAGGCATGCACACGCACACAGGCGCGCAAAGGCCCACACAAAATGGCCGAGAACGGAAGGAAGAAATGAGGAGAGGATAGGAGGGGAGAGGACAGGAGAAATATCGTCAAAGAGAGGAGAGGGTGGCGCGAGAAAGGTTGTTGGAATTTGATAAGGACAGGGATGAAGGATGAAACCAACACAAGCAGCACTGTGGCGATATGGCTTGGCTTGTCAAGTAGTGGGTGGGAGAGCAAGGCACCCGAGCACAGAGATGCAGCGCCATGGGGTCAAAGTAGAACGACGTGCAAGCGCTCTCCTGTGCCCCTGCCTCCACTGCTGCCCCACGCGCTGCTGCTCCTACTGGCATCCCTCCAGCAGCCTGCCCAAGTGGAACACACACAGAGGGGCGCGGCAGCAAGGGGGTGAGCGAAGCATGGAAGTTGGGGGGAAGGCAGCAGGGGGATGAGGAAAGCAAGGGGAGGGGAGCGAGGGAGTAGGCGGGTGAGCGACGCACACAGAGGTAGGATGGCGATGAGAGGACTGGGGGACATGTGGTGGTACGGCGAACAGGTGGGCAAACTGGCCGGCGCATACCTGGAGCCTTTGAGAGAGGATCTCGTAGATTTGATTGCGATCGTATGCTGGGAACGGCAGCAGCGTTGGGCGTGCTGTCACTCCCCTGAGAGGCAGAAAAGGAAAAGAGAGGTGGCGAGTCGCGGGTGAGCAGCATGAAGTGTCTTGGTGAGAGACAAACAAGTGAGCGGGAGGGTAAGATTGCAGGAGACGGTCAGAGCAGAGTGAAATCTGAACGAAGAAAACAAAAGCATGAAAGAGAGGTAGGGAGGGCTGGGATGGAAGGGAAGGAGAGAAGTGCAGCGAGGGTAGGGAGGGAAGGGAGGGCAGAGAGAGAAGGGGGGGAAAGGGCGGTAGAGAAAGGGGAAAGAAGGAAGCGCACATTGAGTTGGGCCGAGAGAGGTGTGGCAGCAGGGAGTCGATTAGATGAATAGAGTTCGATATGCCTGTTGGGGGAGGACGTTTGGGGGCGAGGAGTGGCACGGGGTGTACAGCGGAGTGAGTCACTGAGTTGGGCTCAAGGAGGATGTAGCAGTGAGCAATACATATGTAATGCTGAGCAATGAAGATGTAGCACTGCGGAATGAGGATGCAGCAATGAGCAGCGAGAGGGTAGCAGTGACCGACCGATGAGGATGCAGCGCGAGTGGGCGTGGAGGGAGGGCAGGAGGAAGAGGTCTGTGAGCACGGAGGTGTCTTTGCCCCTCACCAGCTGATCCACCTCGTCCGCCACCACCAGACTGATGCACGCCATGCCATGCCATGCCATGCACACACCACACACACAGCATGCACAGCACGCACAGCACGCACACATCACACACAGGACACAACAGAAGAAACGAAATGAGGTTTCAAGAGGAGCATGGCATAGTTCGGGGAGACACAGACAGACGGCACATGAGCGGCGAACGTGCTGGTGTGATACGATTTATGAGGACGGCAACGGAGGACTGAGCCAGTTTTTGAGGCGCCTCAAAAACCACCTCAGTGCGTGTGATACGATTTGTGTGGATGACAACGGAGGACTGAGCCAGATGACGAGGAAGAGAGGAAGAGAAGAAGGGAGGGTTGACTCAGATGGAGGTCTAATGCAGAGGAAGAGAAGAAGGGAGGGCTGACTCGGATGGAGGTCTGATGCAGAGGAAGAGAGGGCGGACTCACATCATGGGTTTCCTCCCACCCTTGCCACCACCACTGCTTCCATCACACTTGCCCGTGCCCCCATCACCACACCGCTTGTCACCACCAGCATTGGCTCTCCCGCCGGCCTGCCCCTTCCCCCCCTCTCCCTCCCTCAGCCGCAGCACTCTCCTTGCTCCTCCGCCATCCTTCTCCCCGCTTCTGCCACCTCCTGTCCCCCGCGTCACTCGTCCCTTCCCTGCAGAGCGCGGCCCTGCGGAGCGCGGCCCTGCATCACCTTCCTGCCGTGCGCCCCCTGCCTGCCCTGCAGCCCCTGCTTGCCGTGCGTCTGCTGCCACCACTTCCACCACGTCATCATCCTCCCCTGAAGACCGCGCCTCCTCAGTTGCATCCCTCGCACCCTCGCCCTCAACCAACCGCGACTCGATCCCCTCCGCTTGCTCCGCCCGCTCCTCCTGCACCTCCTGCTGCAGCAGCGACAGCACCGCCTCTCTCGCCCCTTCGCCATCCCCGCTCGTCCGCGCTCGTCCTGTGCCCCCTCGCTGCCGCCCGCCCTTCCGCCCGCCGTGGTTAGAGGGTGAGGAGTGGTGCGCAGCCTGTGCTGCTTCTATGGCGCGCTCCATCTGAGGCGCGCGCGGGGTGTGAGGAGAGCGGTGGGACGGGGAAGGGGAGGGATAGAAGGAGGCTCAACAAGGGGAATGAGAGAAGACACAAGACAGCACAAGCCGAGAGAAGGGGAAGGGGAAGTGAAGAAATGGGAAAAGGGGGGGGGGGGGGGGGGGGGGGGCTCACGAAGGCACAAGGCGACACAAGTCGAGAGCTTGGAATGTGGGGAATGTGAGGAGGTGTGGAGAAAGAGAGACAAGGAGTAGTGCGTTTATGAGCGCGTGAGAGGAGCAGCAGACTACAAACGGGGGGCGAAGGAGGGGCAGAGAATGAGCGGGCGTCACCTGGGGGAAGAGGTTGGCGGGGTCGGTGAGCGCCATGCAGTTGACGTACACCGGCACGCACAGGAGCTGCCGAGGACAGAGTGAATGACGGGTTGAACGCCGGGCACATGAGGACGAATGAGTGCTTGGGGTGATTTGAATGGAGTGACAGGAGCAGGGTGAGTGACGGCAAAGGGTGAATGAATGTGTGAAGGCGATGGAGCAATAGGGGCAGTGATGATGACTCAGTGACGACTCATTGTTGCGGAGAGAGGAAGGATGATGCTTTGTAAGAGCAGTCAAAAGGTTGCGTGCGTGCTCGCGTCACTGACGCGGCATTCCATGGACTGGCCTCGCGTCACTGATTCGCCACTCCATGGGCTCACCTCGCCGGCCGCATTGGTCCACGTCGACACCTCCTTCGCCACCTGCGACAACATCAAGGACTTTCCTGTTCCCGGGCAGCCGCAAACGTATAGGCTGCCCGCGCGGGCTGTAGTCGCATGGTCACGACAAAATGCGACGATCTGATCTCGCTGCGCGTCGCGGCAGCGAATCTGAACAAGCCCGCAGCTGTCGTCGACTGCGTCGCTCGCGTCGCTGTTTTTGCACTGGCGGCCGTCTGCGACAAAATCCTTGAAGGTAACTTGTAATGACTGTCGCACACGATCCAGGCATCGCGCGACTGCGGTCGGAATGGGTCGTGCGACGTTTGAAAGCGACTGCGATCGAGTGTCGCGCACTTTGTCGTCCGGCCCCATGCGACAGGCAATGGCAATATCAAGGCTCAAATCGACAATGAGCCTAGAAGCAGCGAGGCGTGGAGCCAATAGCGGTCGAACGACGCGGAAGCGAAGGGAAAGAGTACAAATTGAGTCCGACCGACCAACGACACTGATATGCGATACGTGCGAAAATGCTGGAGGCGCAAGATACGGCTGCCAGCAAGCTTGAACGTCAAACACACTGCTGCGGCTGTTGACGCCGTCGTCACTCAGTGGTGCTGCGATATCGCTTGACAACAAGCTATGATCCAGCGTAATACTCTATTCTGAACCCTGACCTGGCTGCTTCCCGTTGTGATATCCAAGTATTCAAGTACTGATCCTGCCTCGTTGGTTTCACTTGCCTTGGTTTTTGTTCCTCCACCTTCCTTGCTTTCTGCCACCTGTACTCATTCCCCCTTGGTATTCCCCACGCCTTGGTGGAATCCCGCCTTTCCTCGAGAGAGCACTGTGGTGCCACTTTCGTGAGCTACCGTTACAAACAGCTGGCGAAGCCTAGAAAATAACCCGCTATCGTTTTACCATTGCACAAGTTGAGTTGAGAAATCAGGCAATCTTCATTATTCAGAAGCTATGTATTCATACATGTAAGTTATATCACTCAGCGTAACATTACAGCCTGTGCGACTTTAGGCGAAATTCAAACAGCCAATAGCAGAGAGCGAGCGCCACGCGCACCCATGAAGCAGCAAAACAGAAGATCAACCGTCCCAACCGCGCAACCTCCGCTGACCAACTGGAGTTGCCGAAACTGCATGTGCGGTTCGGAGGTTTGTGATTCCAGAAATTGACATTTTGACTCACACATGCATGAATCGGGCTGGCCCTCAGGTATAAGGACCAGCGCCGAAACCCTCATTCCATCACTCGACTGCGAGTTCTGCTTTCCTCTCTCCTAGTACCTCGGATTTCAGATCCGTGAAACAGCTTACATCAACACCCTCTCAGAAATTAACAATTTCTTACCAGATCTTCCGTCTGTGGTACTGCTGTCTTTGCGTCGGCCCAGCTATCATGGGGCTGCGGAGCACGCGCGTGGTGCTGCTGTGCGCGGTGGTGGTGGCAGTGAGCCTCGGCGGGCTGGGCGGGGGGAAGCTGGGCGCGGAGGCGATCGCGGGCAGTGACCTGACCAAGCCGTTCGAATGTGACAAGAACAGCGACTACGGCATGTGGTTCCGGTACACGTGCGTGTGCGCGGCCATAGACGTGTTGGATGTGGGAATCTACTGGGAGCCCAAGTACAACATGAGCATCGGCGCCACGTGCCCGGGCCCCCACCCGGCGGCGTTCGGGCGCATGGCATTCGGAAACAAGTGGCTGGAGTCGGTGGGGTACAGCTCCTGGGTAACCGAGCTCATGCGCTGCGCGCGCCAGCCGTACCGCGGCGACGGCCGGCAGCTGTGCTACATCTCCAACATCCGCGGGCGCTTCAAGGAGCTCTTCGTGGGCAACGGGTACGTGCCGCCCGGCGGCAAGGTCAACGGCCGCCCCTGGAACTGGAACCCCGAGCCGCCTTACCTCGGCAACAACTGGCGCTCCTGGGCCTGGGATGAAAAGCCGTACTAACCACTCGCTGCTGCCTGCTGCCGGGTGCACTCTCACACACACGCATGCGGTTGTGCCAGACACGTGGATATGTGCAGGGCTGGGGATTGTTAGGCGGAACGGCGGTGGTAGAGGGGTTAGAGACGTGTTGGGAGGTGATGGGTAACGAGGGTGAGGCATGCGTGTAGGAATAAACAGGGTTGATGATGCTTGTATGGACGTTGGTTGGGTAATGAATCCGAATCTTGAAATTCCTTGAAACCATAGTGAGTGAACTCGCTGAAAAGTAGCTTGAAAAATGGTTGCAGTGAGCGGCATCACAAAATACACCCCTACCACCTTGCTCGTGTTGCCAATCTTCAGGGGAAAGGGTGTTGGACTTCGTTGGAGTTGCTTTTGAGAATTCTCAAAAGAAAGGGTGTTGGTGTTGGGCGCTGCTACCGTATGAGGAAACCCCGTGGCCCGTAAAACACCTTCCACTCGTGGAAGCATCCTCCTAGACATCAGATGATACCAGCAAGCAAACGCCTGAGAACAAATATGCTACCATGTCAAGTCGTTCTGCTGGTCAGCATGGTAACATGTGAAAACTATCCACAGTTCCTCAGCTGAACACAGGCTTGAGAGGGCTGCTGCTGGGGTTTGCTAAGTTTGGTTGGGTGACATGTCATGCCAGTGCAACACATCTCACCAACCAGCCGCCAGCCAGCTCATGATGAAACAACATACATACCGTAGAGCAGCAAAACAGAGTGATAGAAGGGTGTGCAGAAAAGGCTAGACCACACACATGACGGCAACATACGGTAAGAATAAAATGTTTAGATATCCAGCTGGAAGGTCAGGTCAGGGAGCTACTGGAGTGGAATCACATCACAGCCAGACACATTGGACCACAGATATTCGTGGTCACTCTTGTGTGACTGCGACCGTGATGAATATGCAGCACTCTGGCACCATCGTGTCGTACTGTTATTGTACTGTACTGGAGACCATAACGAGCTGATAAACATATGCACACAACACAGCTGTTGCCCAGCCTCTAGTACACCTGTATGTGCCGTCGGTTGTCCCAGACACATCCACATCCCATTCCTCTCCCTCCCAGCCCACTCCCCCTCCCCACACACCTCCTTTGTCACCCTGAAACCATCACCAGCACCATCCCTTTCATGGTTGCAGTCACAGCAGCATCAGCATCAAGGACAGCCTCATACCAGCAGCACCCAAGGCTTGGCTGGCCAACCAACTATAGCAAACCACATGGTACTCCCCCTCCTATCTCCCCTCCACCTCCCTTCCACCTACCTGACCCCTCCCTCTACCTTCCCCTCCCATCCCCCCCCTCCCCTCCCTCCCCTCCCCTCCCCACAACACCAGCCACCCCTGAACGGCCCAGGGAGCAGCGCTGCGGTCATCTAGAGGGCCGCATGAGCATCATGCCACCCATGGGCGGCCGCATGCCCTGCACGTCAAAGAACTGCCCCGGCAGCGGCAGCACCGCCCCCCGTCCAGCCCCACCCGGCATGCCAAACAGCATCCCCGGCATCCCACCCATGCCCGGCATACCCGGCAGGCCCATGGGCGGCATGCCTGGCCGCAGCAGCTGCTGGGGGAACCCTCCGGGGGCAGCGCCGCCGCCGGCTGCTGCTGCTGCAGCGGCGGCCCCAATGGGAAGGCCGGAGCCGATGGGGACGGAGCCGAGGTGGTCGCGGATGCGCTGGTCTATGAGGGACTGTGTCTGCTCCTCCTCATACTGCTGGTAGTACGTGCGCACGTTGGCCTGGTGGGTGGGTTGGGGGGCAGGAGGTGGGCAGGGAGAGAAAAGGGGAAGGGAGAGGAAAGGGGAAGGGGATGAATGCGCTGGTATATGAGGGACTGCGTCTGCTCCTCCTCGTACTGCTGGTAGTATGGGCGCACGTTCGCCTGGTGGGGGGAGAGGAGGGAAAGGAGGGGTGGGCAGGGGCGGTGGACCGTGGAAGAAGAGGAAGTGAGGCTCTGGGGAAGGAAGGGAGGGAGAGGGGAGAGGGGGGGGAGGAGATTGAAGAGCAAATGTAAGTTGGGTAAAGCGGCGTCGGAAGGGACGTAGTGACTGTGAGCACGAGTGCATGCAATTCGCTTGGCATGAGAAGTGACAGGGGTTGGGGCCAACGTGAGAGTGTACTCAAGTGCGGGAACAAAAATTCAGTACACTCTCGTCTCAAACGAGCACTTGAGTAGAGAGCAGACGAGCATCGGTGCCTATGAGCATGCACACAGCCAGCCCTCGTCTCACGCCTGTGCTGCCACCAGGAACACTGCATGCTGCATGTTGAAGCTACCCTTCTATCCCTCACCTTGTGCTTGTATCCCTCACCTTGTGCTTGTATCCCTCACCTTGTGCTTCTATCCCTCACCTTGTGCTTGTATCCCTCACCTTGTGCTTCTATCCCTCACCTTGTGCTTGTATCCCTCACCTTGTGCTCGTATCCCTCACCTTGTGCTCGTATCCCTCACCTTGTGCTTGTATCCCTCACCTTGTGCTTGTAGCCGGCATTGTGTTGTTTCCTCACAGACGGCTGTGCCAAGGGGAGGGATCGGTCGGGGCACAGAGGGGAGAGATTGGGGAGCGCAGGGCGGATATAGGAGGTCGCAAGGGAGAGACTTTGAGGGGTGCAAGGCGAGTGCAAGGGGATGCAGGAGAGTGCAGAGAAGACAGCATGCCAGCAGGCGTTCGGGAGTGGAGATAGGCTGATGAAATACGTGCAGTGACGGGTGCGGGAAGGGGTGGAAGATAAGCGGCAAGCGAGGAGGTGGAGAACGATGGGGAAGGAAAGAAAAGGGTGATAAGGTGTGCGGATGGTGGACACTAGGAGACTGGAGTCAGGAAAGGGGATGGGACGAAGGGGAGAAGATGGGAGGAAGGGAGGGGATGGGGAGGAGGGGAAGGGATGGGAAGAAGGAGAGGAAAATGGAAGAAGGGGCGGGGATGGGAAGAAGGAGAGGAAAATGGAAGAAGGGGCGGGGATGGGAAGAAGGAGAGGGGATGAGAAGAAGGGGAGGGGATAGGAAGAAGGGAAGGGGATGCGAAGAAGGGAAGGGGATGCGAAGAAGGGGAGGGGATGGGAAGGAAGAAGAGGAGATGTGAAAAAGGGGAGCTGAGGACAAGACAAGAGGAGGGCTGGGAGAAGGAGAGAGGGCCACAAAGCACGCGTGTGACTCTTACCGAGTCGTGAGTTAAGTACGTGTCGCAATAATCGCAATAGTATCTGCGGTTCAAGACGACACGGTCGAAAGACGGGAACACCGGGAGGGGGAAGGAGGAAAGGGCGGGAGAGAGCACAAACTAGTCAGGGGCGAACTAGTAGTGGGAGCGAGAAAATGAAGGAGAGCGAGGGGGGGAGGGGAGAGAAACGCAGAAGAGAAAGGAACGACCCAGGAGGCACTGGCAATCAGATAAGCGTGAGCGTTAGCGAGCTCTCAGAGCGTTTGACGCCAGCGCGGATAACGGCATCGCTGAGGAAAAACGCTTCGAAAAAAAACAGGGGATCGGCGACGGAGGCAGAATTTTAACGTCACCTCGAAGTAATTAATTTTACTTAACTCAACCCTAAATGAGTTGGAAGTCTGAACCTCGAGATTCCAACCCTAACTAGGAGAGAAGAGTGGAGCATACCGTGGCATGGCCGCGACGACTGATTTGCGGAGAACGATGGGGACGGAGAGGTATAAATCGAGGGAGGAGCTCCGAAAAGACAGTAAAAGGACAACAAGGTAATCCGAGACTAAGTCTGACGAACTAAGTAACTATAGATATGATATTTTTATTAAAACAATGCGCAAAATTCCAAGCGGGGATAGCTCAGTTGGGAGAGCGTCAGACTGAAGATCTGAAGGTCGCGTGTTCGATCCACGCTCACAGCACAGTTTTGTGCCGTCGTTTTTCCTTCAGGGAGTTGTTCCATCCTCTTTGTTCGTGTCAATGTTTTCTGAAGTAACGTATGATGACTGCAAGCACGCTATAGAAACATATGAACATTCTTAGCTACACTTCACTCAATTCTGCTGATGTCCTTTCCACCTCCTGAACCAGTACCCTTGGGGACTGTGCAAACTACATGACCACTGCCTCGTTTTTCAAGCAACCTCCGCAAATCATGGCGGCTCCTCGAGTGGCGCAGCTCTCTGCTCCCGCCGCGCGTGCCACGCACACCCATCAACGATACGCACCCATCCTTCCAAGGCTTCCCGAAGCGCGTTCGCCGGCCTGTAGTGCGAGGCAATACTGCATCACGAGCAGAGCCACCAGGATCAGCTTCGCTCCTATCACAGATGCCACCGTGTTCAACGGCGTCGGAAGCAGCCTCGCATCTTCCCGGCCAGCCTTAACAGCTTCTCGCCGCTGGCGCGTTTCGGTGAGCGCGAGGAGTGACGGAGCGAGCGAAGGCGGTCAGGGGAAGAGCGATCGGAGTGGCGACGGTAGCGAGAAGAAGGAGGGGAGCGGGAATGGTGGGGCAGCGGGAGACGCGGAGATGCAGCAGCTGTTGGCGGACATGATGCAGCTGCAATCGGATAAGGTGCGTGTCGCATTGTGCTCGGCTTATGCTGACCGTGTGGTCGCATTGTGAGTATAGCTGCTTCTCATTGAAAGACGCGGAGATGCAGCAGCTATTGGCGGACCTGATCCAGCTGCAATCGGATAAGGCGCGTGTGGTCACGTTGTGCGCAGCGATGCTTCTCATTGAACGATGTGCTGCATCCTTTGTGCTTGTTTTCTTCATTTCCCTGCTTCTATCAGTTCCGTCAGCGCTCCCTCTATCTGCTCAACCCACCTGAACCCTTCACTCCACCCCAGTCTTCTCATCACACCCAACGGCTTCTACCACATTTGATCCCCTGATCTTCTCGCCTTGTTCCTCTGAACTCCTCAACCTGATTTCTGATCTTCTCAACCTGATTTCTGATCTTCTCAACCTGAATTCTGATCTTCTCACCCTGATTTCTGATCTTCTCACCCTGATTTCTGATCTTCTCACCCTGATTTCTGATCTTCTCACCCTGATTTCTGATCTTCTCACCCTGATTTCTGATCTTCTCACCCTGATTTCTGATCTTCTCACCCTGATTTTCTCATCTTCTCCCTTGATCCCCTCACCTTTTCTCCCTGATTCCCTGATCTTCTCACCCGAATCCCTGATCCTGCATTCCCCGTTACCCTGACCCGAATGTGCTCCAGGTTCGCGTGGAGTCCTTTGTAGAGGAGAGGACGCAGCTGCTGACGGGGATTGCTGAGTCAGCATCGGCGGAGTATGCAAGGATCGCAGAAGAGGCGAAGCGGGGCATGGAAGAGGCGAGCAGCAAGGTGAGGCGAGCACGAGCATGTTTCAAAAACGCATGCATTGTTCACTCAAACCTCCTCTCTGTCACCTGTCCACTGCATTCCCCCACCTATCTCTCTTTCCCCAGCAGACCTCTTGATAGTCAATGTGTGTGCCATAGGTCTCATTCTTGGATGGCATGTTGTGTAGGACACGAAGGCATAAACGTGTCGTCCTCTCATCCAAACTGGGATCGAAAAGCAAGAGGTCTTACTGACCTGCACTCCTCAACCCCCTCCTCCTCGCTTTCTCACCCCCTCCTTGTTTTCCATTCAGGTGCTGCAGCAGGTGGATGCAGAGGCGGACGAGTTTGAGCAGCAGCTGGCAGCAGCGCGGGCGGACATGGAGCGCAGCGAGCGCGAGTTTGACGAGTTTGAAAAGTCCGTGGAGGAGAGGCGCAACTCGCTGCTCTTCTTCAAGCAGCTCTACCGCCGACCCTCCGAGTCCTCTCCTCCTGCTGCCGCTGGATCACCCGGCTCAGAACCTGCAAGCCCAGGCACGAGTGGGTACAGCAGTGGGGGATCTGATTTGTCGGGTGACTCCTCGTCATCTTCGGCGTCGCTGCAGCCCCGCACTCAAACACCCCCCTCCTCCTCATCCTCTCAATCTGTGGATTCGCTGCCCTCGTCCAACGCGGCACTCTCTCCCAAGGAGCAAGCACTGAAGGCGGTACCAGAGCTGTTCTCAGCGAATCAAAGGGCGGCTGCATCACCGTTCCGTCGCAAGGTGTATGCTGCTCTTGTGGCCATATCAGGGCTCTCTCTAGTGCAGGCGGTCACGCATGAACCCAAGGAGTGGCTGCAGGTGGCTGCTAGTGGGCTCGTGTTCTCCGCACTGCTGGTGCAAGCACTGTATGAACGATCACTTGCAGGAAATGGTAAAGATGACGATAGTGATAATGGCCGCAACGAGTAGGCTTCTCAATTGTAGGCTGCATATTTAATGTGAGTATTTAACGTGTTTTTCATTACTGTCTGTTACTAGTAGCACAGCACAACCAAACAGAAGAAAATGTTTAATTTTTGTATACCCTGGTTTTCCTCATGAAACATGTTATTTCCGAAGTGTCCCTACAATAACCAGCTATTGTTGGCCAAGAAGGTGGAGGAAGACCATAGCATTATGGATAGTAAGTGAAATTACCCTTCCGTTGTAACCTTCTCGGATGTACTAGGGACAATACACTTCAATTTCTCTGTAACGAACAGCATCTCTCTAAAATTATCAGAAACCGTCAATTATGGGACACTAGCGAGTGTGCAATGGAATGGGAGCAAGTGGAGCTCTGTTTATTGGTCATTAATGTCACTGCGCGGGAAACTGTCCAGCGACAATACCCATGTGAAGCCATCATCGCAAGATTGTGTGTGCACCTGGTCCTCACTGCACTGGTTGATGCGCTCCCTCCGAAGGAATGCTAGTGCCTCGGCACCGGGCAGTTCAGCTTAAACCGCAAAACATATCCTTGGTGTCCTAGCTGTACATTATCGAGTGGATTACCTTGTTGGGGTTCAATCGTTTCCATACAAGAAAACGTGCTATGTATATTTCTTTCCATCTGTTTCCGGCATCGGGCAAGCACTGACATGGCTTTTCCCGCATGGCGGGCAGGTCTTTCTGTGGTCGTTATTGGCTGATTCGGAGAAAAGCGTGAAAGCCACCCTTGTGAAGTGATGATTACGAAATTCCCATTCACGCAGGCAGTTGGCATCAGTCCCAATGGCAGCTGGGACCATCAAGTCCCTCCAATCGTCGGCTCACGTGAAAGCTCCAACGGGAGTGACGAAAAGCAAGGGGGCTTGACACGCATAATTCATCAGCGATGCAACCCTATTTGCACGCCAGGCAGCCAGCTTGCACGCCGAAGGAAGCTTTCACCCCACTCCCCGTCTCATGACGCTTGCTCCTCCACGCATCTCGCCTCGAATCTGAGTCATTTCAGTGATCCCCTCATTTCCAGTGACTGGATGCTGGGAAATAAAGCTGATGGTCCCACAGCTTCATTCTCAAATCTCAGCAACTCATTCATCAACGTCTACGCATAGCAGCAGGATTACGATTAAGACCCCTTTTACAGTGGACCTCTGGCTCTAATTAATCTCTGAAGAATCGTCAGCATGGTTAATGCCGTTGACTTCAAAAGCTTCCCCTCCTCACCCGTCTCCGAATTCGCTCTTGAGATGTTCAGCCGCGTCTGTTGCGACCTGGAGGATGGAGCATGCAATGCGACTGTTTCCACTAGTGATGTTCCTTATTTCCGCGATTCGTTCGACTACAACAGCAGCGAAAGCGAGTCAGCGTGTCGGCAAGCCGAACTGGCCTGCAGTCCGATCTGGATCGACGCGGCAAGGTCGAGAATCCGCAGCGCGGCTCTCGCAGTAGTTGAGACGCAACAGCAGTCGCTGCATCTGACGTCGCTCGCTGACAGCCATATGCATGACGACGACCTTTCAGAGTTCGATGTTTCTGCTGAAGTTTGCTCCTGTATGTCGCCGAACTCCATTCAGGCTACATCGCCGAGGAGCAGCGGCAAGGCTGGTGTTTTCCGGTTTATCGCGACGTCGTTGCGCCTGCGGAAGTGAAGTCAGGGGATTGATTGGTAGTGTTATTTAGATGTGGTGCTCACATCATTAGCTCCTGCCTTAGCCGGCAGCTGTATAGATTCTATAAGATGGATACGGCGTGGCCTGGAACATATTGGCCCGTCCTTGTATGGTAGTAATAAAAGTTCTCATTGGAACTCAGTTTGAACATTTTGTTACTGGATCAGTCCAAGTGATATCTCTTCAACACAGGCTGAGAACGGTTACCCATCATATGCTTTATACAGTGGGCGCTGACCATGTTGGGCCCCTATAGCTTCGTTAGTGACACTTTTGGAGGTCCCTACCTAGTCATTCAAGGTCAGATCTCCAGGGTAGCGATTTTGGATATTCTGCTTTCCTGCGGAAGTTAGAAACTACTTCACATCAAACCATGACAATGCCGACTGTTTGGTTACCGATACCTTCATTGTCCATGCACACTGCATGAAAGCCATAGGGTGTGTATAATGATGGATAGCAAAGAAGACACCTCGTGCGGTTTGTGTTTAGGTGCGACAAGTAGGGCGGTATCCTCCACTCGTTCCATGGTGCTTCTAGGCGCGGTGATTAGGCAGTGTGCCTGGGCTGAAGCCTGAAAGCCCAACGGCTGTGTGAAGTTGTTATCAATGTTCATATATATGTCTGAGCTATTCAGCAATAAGTCAAAACCTTCCAAGTTCCAATCCAAGCCCCGACCCAATGACCCAGCCCTAATGACCTA